ATTATTTCCAATATATATAAATCGACTCAGTTTTTAACGCTGATTCCGAATCTGATATTAGTTTTGAACCAAATCGTAGCTTTCTAACAAAACATCCCCCGAAAAAGGTCCCAAAATGCAGAAAAACTACATGAAGAAAGCAAATAGTCTAGATATGTCTCAGATGATAAAAAACAAAGTGAATATACCTTTTCACTTTTTCAAGTACACATAACACTCGAATTTAAATCCGATGTTTTCGCATTTATTTATGTTGAATCCGCATAATGTTAAAGTTTGTTGAAAAATACACTATTTATAGGTGACATTTGGTAATGACCTCATCAAGTTCTATCGAATCATGTAAAAATATTAGGATATGAAAATTTTTGCTTATGTTTTATTTTGTTTAATGTATCTTAACTTACTTGAATAATCTAAACAAAGACTATTTTCAAAACTAAGTATAAAATAATAATTTTCAGCTATAAATTGTCGACAATTCATATTTGATGGACATGATTTTCCACATCGTCCATAAACTGTAACATTAATATATTGTTGTAATTTTTTTATAAATGCTAATCGTCGACTACTACCACCACAATTTGATATTAAAGCAGCAACTATACCTAATTTTTTCTTTTGTAATATATCATCAGATGGTTGATGATCAATTGTTCTTGATTTTAAATTAAGTTTATGTGTAGAATTTTCATTTAACATTAATTGATAAAAAGGACTTGATGTATGAACATACGAATTACCAGAATAATATGATGTTATTATATCAGATTTAAATCGATATGTCATTGTCCAATTAAAAAATTGATTATAAGATTGTAAATTAGGTGTATGAGCTGGTGATTCCCATAAAGCAAATACAAAACGTTGTTTAGGATGACGATTTTTTTTAGCTCGATTTTGATCAATACCATCACGCATATGATAAACAATAGCATCGGCTTCCGAAAAACGATTATTATCAGTAGTTATATCACAATGATTAGATAAAAATGGACAATAGAGTGAAGTCACTGAAAAATAAATAAATTTAATTAATAGAATAGTTTCATATATATTGAATAGTATTTACTTTTTTCTCTTGATGATTTACTTGATGATGCAATACCCCAATCTCGATCACCAAAAAATCCATTGCCTAATAATATAAGTTTGCTTGTATTGCCTATGAATGATATATTTTGAGTAAAAATATGAATAGGTAAACGAGGATAATAATCAGAAACACGAATTTCAAATTGTTTTTTTATGGATGATAATTCTAATATTGAATTATTTGTTTGATTTATTATTAGAAAATTTTGAATAGATGAATTAACAATATTATTCGAAGTACTGAAAGGCATTGTTAATGAATCTAATATTCTAGTATAATCATTCGTAACTAATAAATAAAATAAAAATGTACATAGAACGAGTAAAAGAAAATATTTAAAATGTTTTTGATATTCCATTTTGATGCGTCTGTTGAATACAAAATAAAATTTACATCATAATAGATAATTTTGTCTATAAAACAATAAGATAAATAATCAAAATAATCAAAAAATATAGATTTTCATTTATTTTTGTCGTGAGTTTTTAGAGAAATTTTTTTTCACATGATCGATTTTTTTTCTTAAAACAAAAATTTTCAATTTTTTTTATTTCGTTGAAATTTCAAAACTAAACTTAAGAAAACTATTTTGAAATAAGTTTCCTAAATTCAGTTTTGATATTTTAATGAAATAGTAAAATTTCTCTAACAACTCATGGCAAAAAAGAAATTGATCAATTCGTCACGCTCTACCTAACCATAAAAGGTGTCCTACAATAACTGATGATAAATTGTTAATGATATTTTTCATACTTTTTCTCGATGTAGAGAGCTGAAATTTTTATCATATATACATCTAATCAAGATCTTTCATTTCTGAAAGTTTCAGCCTTGTAGCTGTAACTATTGATAACTTAGATCGACAAGATTGAAGAACATTGATATTCGTACACGTTTGTTTTTGTATTTGATTCTGATAGCAGAGATGAAAGATCTTGATTAGATTTATATATATATATACGATAAGAATTCCAGGACTCTACGTCAAGAAAACGTATGAAAAATATTATTAGCAATTTATCATCAGTTGTTATGGAACAACATTTATATAAAGGAAAGAGGAAAGAAGTCTACTCTAATTTTGCATTTCCGGCACCTTCCCTACAAGAGAACTACCCGAATTGATACTCACCATTTGAGTTCATATTTAGGTTCACATGAGGATTTCAATAAAACTATAGAAAAACCCTAAAAAAAGTTTGCGTGTCTATAGGTTTTTGTAGTCAACATTTATGACTATTTTACTGAATTTTCGATCTTGAATTTTACTCATAAATAGGTCAAATGACTAGTAAAATATCTTGAAGGTTTCAGTCGACAAAAATGTTCTTCTGTCAAGATATTGAATTTCAAGCGAACTTAGTTTTTTTTTTTTTATTGTGGACTATTATTTTTTTTTTTCGAAATTCAATATCTTGGCAAAAGAATATTTTTTTCATCTGAAATTTTCTTATTTAATTTTTCGATAAGCTATACTCTAAATTTCGTAAAATGATCATAACTCGTCTCCAAAGACTTGATTTTTCTAGTCTTACTGAGACTTCATTGTAAATCTAATAGGTATAAGTTCGAGTAGTTCTTTCATTAGTATATTTATATGTGAACATTTCTTTCATTTTAATTATGTTATATTTTTATTTTGACAGAACCGTACTAAGATTGATAATGATTGGCTGCAAATATCTAATACATCAAGTATACTTTATAATATTTGCATGAATTTTTTTCTTTTGATATCGAAGAGGAGAGAGAAATATTTCTGCACATACTCAATATAGTTTGTTTCTTATCGAATTTTTATGCCAAAATGGATTTAAAAAGAAGTAATTTATTCATTTTTCTTACGTTTTCTGCTATGGCAACAAAATATAAATGACTATACATCTGAATAAATCCTATCGCATAGAACTTCGGTGCCCAAAAAACTTCAAGTTTCTAATTTATTCTTTATTCATGTCCTTATTTGAAGTGTCAAATCAGAATGGTTGAATCGTTTTCAATCGGCTGTAGTAAAATGCATCAGAATGATGATTCCTTATATATACTTCCAATTTGCTGTATAGTCGACAAAAAAAAAACAAGTATTTAATTAACAAACTATATAATAGCTTACTTGTTGTCTTGTTCACAATCTTATACTCATTGTAAACAAGAATAATTCTCGACTATAGTCATCCGTTCATTGGATGCTATTTACACTCTTTGTCAATTCACATCGTATATGCCGAGAGTGACTAACTCTATTGAGTTTGAATGTGGTAAAAGAAACGATAGGATGGAGACAAAAGAGAAAACCGGACTAAAGGAAGAGAATAATGCTGCGCAAACGAAAGCATGAGCTGACACAGAAAGAAAGAAAAAAAGAAAGCCTGAATTCAATAGAAAAAGAAAAAAAGAAAACAGAAAGGTCAAAGAAAAAAAAACATCAAGATAAAAGCACTATCCTAGCACGGTACTCGTTTTTAATGACAGTTCTTTTACGTTCTGCATAAAATTTATACGATATTGTAATATAATAATTCAATATCTACAATATTAAATAATTGAAACATATGTTGACTTATTCTCGATATAAACAATATTAAAATAACGGGTAATATTTTCTATGAATTACATACAAAATGTTGTAGATGCCACTGGCAAACATCTTTGTATCTAATTGCAAGAGTGTGTGAAATTTTAATCAAAATTATTATACAAAAAATGAATTTTATTGCAAAATAAATAATACCGCATTGCTATGAAATGTATGTTTAGATTTTATTATAAAAACAATGTAAAGTAATTTTCTTCCGTCATAGTCAACTATTATTAATTGCTATAATCTGGTTTGATAAATAAGAGAAGTAAAAGAACGTACAATTTTTTTTTTTTCTTGACATTTTCTATTAATAACAATAACTTTTTGCTTGTGTAATTTATTTTTAATATGATTTCAAATAGTATTGTCGTATACTCGAATTTAAATTATTCTAGATTTTTATAAAATCCTACACATGTAGTTCGTTATTTCATTTTAATTTCTCTATCAAATAATATTATAGAAAAAAAAACAGTCAGCTAATATTTAATTAGAAAAATTGTAAATAAAAAAATGTTCTTAGAATTTTAAATTATGTTTGTATTGTAATGTGAAGACAAAAAATGCAAACATTCGATTATGAATAAACGAAAAAAAAACTGAATGCTAAGAAATCAAAGAATTATTCTCTACAAATAAAACGTGATATCATCTTAAGAATGCATTGAAAATCCATGAACACATCTGACTATGTGTGTCAAATTCAAAATGAATGATTTTGAAATTAACACTGGTCACCAACAACGCAAATCTATATATATGTCTTATCGAAATTACAACTTCGACAGAGAAATTTGTCGAAGTTAATTTTGATTGATCTTCTCAATAAATAATTCATTTCAATGAATATCGTACTGTTGAATATGTAATCAAAGATAATTTTTTTCTTTAATAAATATTCATTTATTTAAGAATGCAAATGAATATCCTTTGCAACTCTCGTTGTTACCAAACTATACACAATAAATCATAAATATTTACTTATTATTTTTGAGCTTTAATAAATATACATTGTAGTGTTAAATATTTCTGATTGATCAAATTTTTCAATTTTCGATCGTAGTTTGTGACCATAAAATATATTCTCTGATTAATTTGAATATGTAAGAAATACCAGTAAATGTTTTTTGATTACAATCTATATAGATTCATTAAAATCGATAAAGAAAGTTTCAACTTGATCAATCGACGAATTTACCTTAAAATGAAATCAATGCATTAAACAATTGATGATACTACTACTTTTCTTTTTGATAATAAAAATAAATTGACATGATTAGATATTTATCTAAGGATCTATTAGTAAAATGAAGAGCTTACTTTACAATATAATTCTAACGTATCAAATTCTATACAAATTAAATATTTAAAGATTTAAATAAATATTATCATGGTTGTTGCTCTTTTATTGACATAACACAAAGCAAATTAAAACCTCCTTCAAAAAAAGAAACCAATGTGATACTGTTCGTTTTTTTTTATTTTTATCTTAACCGTTCGAAAAATGTCATTATAAAGCACAAATCGAGATAATTTTAAAATTGATAAAAATATGTATGTGAATATATTATTCTTATTTTTTTATGTGAAATTAATATTTTGATAAAGAAAGAAAAAATTGGTCATATATATGAAGTTTGTATTTTTTTTTTTTGTTTTATTTTTATTTGTTTATGCATTGTAACCAAGTAAACGTTGAACACTTGGATAACGCATTCGAATTGCCATACTTTTTTGTTGATCAATATAGAGACTATTCTTTTTCATTTCAATTTCTTTGACAAGCATTTGATGATCATCACGAAGTTTTTTTAAATTCGATTCAGCTTCACGTAATTCTCCTGTAAGATTATCAACTGATTGTGATAATTGAAAAACTTCACCAATTAAACTTTAAAAGAATAAGAAAGAAAACACATTAACAATACTAATAAAAATTATTATCGATACCAAAATATACGACAGGTCAATATTTTTTGAATAACTTTCAATAGAAATATCATAGAAACCTATGGTTTTCATCATTCAAAAGAGAAGATTTAGAGTCATCGAAATTTTATCAGTCAGCAATTGATCAATCAGATAAGTTCTTGATAGAGATTATTGAAAATGGTATCCTAGAGTGATCTCCCTTTCGATTAATCGAAGGTCGATATTTCTAATGTGTTCCGCTTGAGAGTGATAAAGCTTTTCCGAAAATTCCGATTTTAGTCAATTGATCTGTGATCATCCGGAAGAGCAGCTAGACAGAGATAATTCATCAAGCTGTGCCATCACAGGACTATAATTTAAAATCGTAGGTCTCAAGAAAAGTCTTATCACTTTTAAACAGAACACGCTAGGAATATCATTCTTGTGTAAGTCTCGAAAGAAGAATTTTTTTCTATCGATTAATCCAATTAAAAGTTTAAATAGAAAGCTGCAGAATATCGTCTTAGAAAATATTCACCCAGAACTAATCTGATTGGTCAATTTTTGACTAATCAAATCTCCTCTATTGATTGGTGAAAACCGCAAGTCTCTATAATGTTTCTATCGAAAGTTATTCAAAAAACATTGACCAGCCGCCTGATATTTAGATGTCGATAATAGGAAAAACAAAACATCATACTGATCTTGAGGTGGATCATGACAGGATTCAATGCCAGGTCGAGCACGTCGATCATTTA